TGGAATTTAGCAATCACAGGAATTGGCCAATCGTCAATCCCTAGAAGCACTTCCGCAAACTCCGACGGAAGCCTGAGAGCTGCTGGACAAGATCCAATCAGAGCAACGCGTTTCCTGTATAAATACCAGGACCGCGCACTCTCTCTCCCGCTTCTTGTTCACTATGGCTCGTACTAAGCAGACCGCTCGCAAATCCACCGGCGGCAAGGCCCCGCGCAAGCAGCTGGCCACCAAGGCCGCCCGCAAGAGCGCCCCGGCCACCGGCGGCGTGAAGAAGCCCCACCGCTACCGGCCCGGCACCGTGGCGCTGCGCGAGATCCGGCGCTACCAGAAGTCCACCGAGCTGCTGATCCGCAAGCTGCCGTTCCAGCGGCTGGTGCGCGAGATCGCGCAGGACTTCAAGACCGACCTGCGCTTCCAGAGCTCGGCCGTCATGGCGCTGCAGGAGGCCAGCGAGGCCTACCTGGTGGGTCTGTTCGAGGACACCAACCTGTGCGCCATCCACGCCAAGCGAGTCACCATTATGCCCAAGGACATCCAGCTGGCCCGCCGCATCCGCGGGGAGAGAGCTTGAGCATATTTCCCACATTGGCACGTGACCAACTAAAAAGGCTCTTTTAAGAGCCAACTCCCCTTATCTGCAAAAGGTGCTGTAGTGCCTGTGACCTTCATAGTCGGGACTTAATCGGATGCTTCTCCGAATTTCGTTCCTATCTTTTTCTTAAACTGCAAGGACACATAAGCCCTGTACCTACGAAAGTGGGATAGTTGAAGTAAGTTGGAAAGGGCACATTCCGCAGTTTTGTAATTTCATTGGTCTTTTCCCTGTATGTCTGAGGGTTTGGACCCTGGAGTTTCCGTTGCCAGGTGGGTCTTACTGGGTCGTACTGAAGAGATTTTCACTAATGCATCTGGTGTTTTGACACTAGGTCTCCACCTACCCTGTTATAGAGCTCAATTTATATATGTCCTTGAACTCTCGCAGCCGACTGCATTTTCTTCTTGAGTCTGGTACCAAAGGCATATCACGCCTGTCTAAAGCAAGTTTTCATTAGTTATTAATATTTCATTTAATCGCGCCCTAAGAAAGGTAAAGGATTTAGCAGGTTTCTAGTTATGGAATTTTAGCCTCTTATAATTGCAATGTTACTTTTACAGTTGCAGAAGATACAATGTTTCACCATTCCAAACAACGGCAGTGGTTTGAGACACACAAGTAATAAAAATTCTGTAGGTTTAGTGCTATTAATTTTTTGCTCAATTTGAGATTACCCTATCCTGGGTTTGCCTTAGGCTCTTCATTTAGTTAAGAATGACATTGAACTGACCTTCCTGCCTTCACTTCCCCAATACTGGAGTTATAGGCCAGGGCTACTACTTAACCCAGTTTAATTTCATTATTTGAAGGTTTAACATAAATATTAAGCTACTATTGACACTTGGTCCTAAATAATAAAAAAATTAGCTGGGTGTGGTGGCTCACTACACCCTACTCCTGGTGCCTGCATTGCTCTCTACGGTACAGTTGCTCTCTACTGTACCATTGGCGAGCTGGGCAAGGCAAGGGCCTGGAGATTAAAGGAACACACAATTAGGATTTTGGTACATTGGTGTCCCAATCTATTGAGCAGGTGGGAAATTACCAGGCAAAATAAACCCCTAACTAACCACCTGTGGGAACAAACAGGATTTTTAGCAAGAAACAGAAACAAGATGTGTTGCCAGAAACTGCAAGCTATCCTCAAATGAGCCCTCAGAGGAGGGGTAGGCCCTACACCTGGGAGGTAAGCAAGCCAATCTCTTTGAGGACACCAATCTATTCAAAATACAATGTACCAAAATCCTAATTTAAAAATAAAATAAAATAAAAATTAAATCTATACACAGACTCAGGAAGAAGCTCACGTTTTCACGTTTTTAGAGTTTGCAGGGGGCGGGGAGGATGACAGACACTGAAAACCTTTACAGATGCAAAAGGAAATGGGTAAGATAAAGAAAATGGCCTTGTCCTTGGAATTGTGGTCCTAGAAAGGAGATTCAGCCCCTGGAGTTGGCAAGCAGCTGTAAAGAATAAAAGGAGTTCTTTAGAAGAAAGCAGAAACCCAGAGTATGAAAGAAAAACGAGCTTAGGATTTATTTTGTTCTGAACCCAATAATAATAAAGAAAAGCTAGACATAGTGGTTTATGCCTTTAATCTCTGACTTGACTATCAGAGAGGCAGGCCTTGTCTAGATAGCAAGTTCAGGCCTGAATTACATACACAGTAAGACTCTGATTGGGGGTGGGGACAGCACAGGCCTTTAAAATCAGCACTCCGGAGGCTGATGCAGGAGGATCTCATGAGTGTAAGGCCAGCCGGGTTTACAGAGTAAGTTTCAGTAAGCCAGGGCTGTTGCAGAGAAACCCTGTCTCTGGGAGGCGGAGTGGTGGTGGCGGAGGGGGTGGGGAGACCGCCTCAAAAGGAAAGAAAAAGAGAAAAGGACAGGGTGAAATATATTCTTTTTTTAATTAGATCTTAGAAAACTTTTCAGGGAACATCATCTTAAAAGAACTTCTTGGAACATTTAGGTACATTATCCCATTAAAAGGATAATTGTTTTTCCTAGGTCTTTAACACATCTTCAAAACATTAGCCTTTTTTGGTGGGGGGGGGGGCTGTCTTTTAGCAAAATGATAAACAGGCAATGTTCTAATCTTTAAACCAAAACAGAATGCCATGTTTCTATCCAAGGCCAGATTAGAACACCAGTTTCATTCCACTGGCAAAGAGGAGGTAGCTTTCTCCCAATGAGATTCCCTGAAATCCCGATACCTCTGCCGTTTCAGCACCCTAGGAAAGTGGACACTGAATCTGACCACGTAAAGGACGTCGCCCAACTTCAATTGCTGCTAAACCTAATGCCTGTCAAGACAACCAATAAGAATAGTAGTTGATAACACAAATGCTTTTCAGAAGAATCATGAAATAATTCAGTTAAGATCATACATGTAGATCTTGAAAATTAGATATACCTTTTATTAAACTCAAAATGACTAGTAACATAAAGACATTTTTAAAATATCTAAATACATCTATTTTTTTGGTTAATTACACTTGAGTACTTTATTTTCAACATGTAGTAATATAAAAATCTGTCTTTAAAAGCTTTCTCCAGGCTTTCACACTGTAGGTTCAAATTCTAATTTAAAAATAAAAAATGTGAAATGGTTAACATTTCCAACTCGAAATATTTCCTCCCACACTGAAACATGTAAAACTAATAACCGTATCTAGGCCGTTGATCGGCACACACATTAGTGCATACGAGCTGATACTTATCCAAAAAATGATCATCTGTGGGGCATTCACCAAGAAATGTGTAATGTTGTATAGTCACTTCAGGCTTACAGGCATATTTTTTTTTCAAAATACCTCAAAATTAAAGTGTCAGAAGATGTGCAAAACTTCTTCTGTAATCCCAGAACTTGAGAAATGAAGGGAAGATAAAAATTCACAGTTATTCTTAGCTGTAAAATGACTTTAAGACTATTGTGGGATAAGTGACAAAGACCTGTCTCAGAAATTCAAAACTGGGCTTTGTCATGGTGGAACACACCTTTAAACCCCAGGCCTGTAAGCAGGAGCAGGACAATCTCTATGAGCCAGCCTAGTCTATATCAGGTGACACATATAGGCAAGGCTAGGATACATAGTGAGACCCTGCCTCAAAAGAAAATAAAATGAAATAATAAAATAGAACAATTTTTATTTTCCCCGAGACAAGGTTTCTCTGTAGCTTTGAAGCCTGCCCTGGAACTAGCTCTTGGAGATCAGGCTGGCCTTGAACTCATAGAGATCTGCCTGTCTCTGCCTCCCAAGTGCTGGGATTAAAGGCATGTGCCACCACCTTAGAACAAAAATTTTTAAATCAAAGTGATATAATGAATTAAGTATGAGCTTCAGAAATAAAAGTTCTTACCTGCGGTTCTCCTCTCTACCTCCGTCTAAGACAAGGGTAGAAAATAGGATCTACCTTCCCCAGCGTAGGAAAACCAGAGATAGCTTTTGCAAAGTAAGCAATAATTACTAAACGTCATCTTCACCAACCTTTTAATCTGGCAGCTAACAATACTACTAATGACGAGGATGACCAGGATAATTTTAAAAATCCGCAAACCTTATTGTCCAAAGTCGATCACAATACAGCATCTTCCGTTCTGAAGCTCTGCCCAGCCCCAGAAAGAAGGCTGCCACGTCTCGGAGGCAAAAAAGAATGAGGAAGAGGCTTGGCTGGGTTTCTTTACATAGCACACCAGAAGCAATCCATATGCATTCCCTTCGTATTTCTACACAGTGGTGTGAGTTAGTGCTTTCCTCCTCTCCTCCCTGGGGCAGGAGCAGGTGCTCAAAAACACAAAAAGCCTGAGACATTCCTCCTGAGCCACTCACTTGGATGGTACCTGGGAAACTAAGCAAACAAATCATTAGCACTGTACATATGTACTTTCCTTCAACCAGAGTAAAATTTAAAGTGGTTTTAAAATAGGGAATATACAGTTCCATAATTGTGTCTCTAGCAGTGCCTAATTACTGAAGAATGAAATGTGGAAATTACCCACGGTTGGAGCCCAAAGACTCCTGTGCTATGTAAAACTACAAGCTACTTCATTCTTTACATCTCCATTGTTATTAGAGTGTTTTATACGTCCATGATGGATTAAAAAAAAAAAGAGGGGGGTTACTGGGTAATCCATAAATAGTCAGAAATTTTATCTTACAGAAATGGTAGCCAAAATGCAAGAAAATTCAGAAATACCTTTTAATTATTTTTTTCCACATTCTAATGCATTCACACATTGTAAATATTAAAATTTCACATAGGGATGTTTTTCTGTTTTGTAGATCTCCCTAAATTTGGAGTTACATGCTCCAGCAGAAAAGGAGTAGATAATAAACTAGGCCATAAAGGAAAGGGTCAGAAAAATATCCCCCACTGTATTCACATACATTTTAATAAAGATATATGTAATTTAAATCTCTAAATCCACTTGATATCTGATAATATTCTATTCAGTTCATGGGACTTTATAAATTCAATCAAATGCACATTCACAGAGGAAAGATGGTCCTACCTCTGCCTCCTGAGCAGTGTGCAGAGCAACAGGGCCAGGGCATTTCCACTGGATCTTGTCCCACTCGAAAGGCTGTGAAAAGCTAAGCATGCATTCTTTTTTTGTTCTTTGTTTATTTGTTTTTCGAAACAGGGTTTCTGTGTAGCGTTAGAGCCTGTCCTGGAACTAGGTCCCGTAGACCAGGCAGGCCTCGAACTCACTGAGATCCACCTGCCTCTGCCTCCCAAGTGCTGGGATTAAAGGCATACATCTCCACCACCCGGTTAAACATGCATTCTTAAAAACAATAATTTTTAAGTATTTAAAGTATGCAAAATAAGAAAAGTTGTTACTAGCCTTTATTTTAATCAAGTTTGCAAACTTGGTCTCAACACTCCAACGTATCGGAATAACCACAGAGGCCGAGCTCAATTAGAATTGGGTTTTTATAGTAGTAAAGGTGGGGGTGAGGGGTTTCTGAGGTTCAGGACCTCTGATTGGCTGACATCAGTCTAGGGGTGTCCTGGAGAATGTGCGCTGGCAGGTGATCCTATCCACAACGGTTGGAATGCCAGGCATTTCCTTTGCATGGTCTGTTCTTGGGTGGAGGTCGGGTAATCTCAGCTTGTGGTTCCTCCTGCAGCCAGGCATTGTCTCGGGTTAAAATACTGAGATACCGGCCTCTTATTAAATTTATCAATGGCCAAGTTCTACTCTGGCAAAGAACATCCTTTGGGTAACCTGTCCATATTTAGCTTGTCATGGCTGGCCCCCACATTAGCAACATCAGATTACTCCTGCAGCAGATAGGAGGAGGAACACCCAGATACGAACTTCATTTGGAGACACTGTAACTGTAACTTCAAATGAAGTGGTTTTTTTGGTTTTGGTTTTGGTTTTTTTTAGGGTTTTTTTGTTTTGTTTTGTTTTTTTGAGACAGGGTTTCTCTGTAGCTTTGAAGCCTGTCCTGGAACTAGACCTTATAGATCAGGCTGGCCCTTAACTCACAGAGATCCGCCTGCCTCTGGGATCTCCCTAGTACTGGGATTAAAGGCATGCACCACCACCCAGCTTGCAGAGTATATCGCAAGCATCTGATTACCCAAACCATGTCACAGGCACGTTCAAATGTAATAGAAAGCTACCTTTCCTTTAAAATTAATTTTTAATTACGTGAAATTACTCAAATTCAGTGCCTATCACTACAGTTTAACTACATCTGGGAAGGGAGTGTGTGAGTGTGTGTGTGTGTGTGTGAGAGAGAGAGAGAGAAAGAGAGAGAGAGAGAGAGTATGTGTGTGCATGTGTGTGTTACACAGTCCGCGGCCTTTAGAAGTCAAACAACATCTTGCAGATGTCTGATTCCATCATATGGGTCCCAGGATTGAACTCAGATCTTCACTATTGTCCACAAGATTTTTTACCTACTGAACCATCTCTAAGTGGTCCACTATTCGTTTAAGGAAATGCTAGGCTGAAATGTCGGCTTATAAAATACACATGTGATTGTCAGGATCCAGCCTCAACAAAAATACTTCTTGCCAGGATAGAGGCATGGGGATTTAGAAAATATTAGTAAAGAATATGAAGATGTGAATGAAAATAATAAAATGGAGAAACAGGATAGTACTGGAAGGGAATTCCCATGAGTACTAAAAATTCACCTGCATTTAATTTCCATCTGCTTAAAATACCCTGACCTCAAAAGGTAGAAGAAAGACAAAAAAATAAATAAATACTACTTTAACGTGATACAAGGAAATGAACAGACCAATTAAAATTTGTGGGCTACAGTCATAGTTAAATATTTTGTTGCTAGAACAAAAAAAGTCACACTCACACCCTAGACAAAAACATTCTGTAGACAAACCACTCCCTGGGTAAAATCCAAAGTTATCTCTATAAAGGAAATGGACCCTTACTTGGACCCTTAGACTTTTGCTTGAGGTAGGAACAGATCTACTTCTCTATTCCTGGAGAACGGGGTCTGGATATTAGCCACACCTGTTGACAATAGCCTTGAGAGGGCAGAATTCTCTGTTCTACCTGTAGGTGAAACCTTCCTTTGACGTAGAAGCACAATAACCCTGAAGGAACTGGAGGTAAATTGGAACTCTGACCTTTGGTCAAAGTGGAAATGGAATCACATTTTCAGGCCTCCACATGTAACAGCTGCAAGGCCTGGGACAAACACGCAGGAAGACTGCGGCAAGTTGTCCTCCGACCACACGAGTATGTATAATGAAAAAATATTTAAGTATTCAGTAATTTCTGACTACCAGGAGCTCCATTAAATGCATCTGTAGAATTTTTACATCGTCAGGATGAAAAGAAAGCAGACTCCCACCGGGGAAAGAAAAAAAAAAGAAAAAGAAAGCCTGTACCTCTGTACCTACATTGATAAAATGGGAAAGACAACCACAAATTCATTTCAGCTTTTTCTCCCTCTAACTGTGATGAATCCAGCTGCAAACCAGAGTCTACCAAAATGATTTTTCCTTCCTCACGTTGTCTGTTGCTCTGTTAACTAAAGAACAGGTAAGTTCAAAACGACGCAAAAGGAAGAAACCTGTGGTGTATGAACTGCCAAAGGTGCTTCATTTTACTAAAATTTAGCATCAGGATGTTTAAAAAGCTTACACAAATGTAAGCAGTGACATGTGACCAGTCCCTGAAAATTCCGATGGGGAGGCAGATGGAGAAATACAAGGTCTTTCAATTTCTCGGCAAATAAAAAACAAAAAATTTAACATCTCACCCTTTCATGCTCTGTGGACAGAATTCCAGAGGTCTGGGACAAGCAGTGGGGCGATCTGATTGGTGCACCGTTTGCCACTCATAACTGACAGGATGGCCTGATTGGACAGTTCTCAAAACCACGGTCTGTAGACCGATTGGAAAGGAAAGCTCAAAGACTCAGCTACAGCATGTAACCCCCATTGTCGGATTGGTTTGTTAAAAATAATTACCACGCCTAGGCGCCAGAAACAAGACTTCCCGCCAACGCTGCGATTGCAAAGTGCCCATGGACACTTAACAGCCCAAAAAGCCAATGCTTCTCCATGCTTTTGCAAAAAACTAAATGGAGATAAAGCAACCCATCTGCTTATGACATGAAGTGAGCACTTGAACCCATATGCAGCCCAAAGTATGGACTCAGAAGAATTAACTGCCTTTGTCAGCAAAAGTTAAAAAATATAAACAATATTAAAAACTGCCTTGCTTCAAACCGCATAGCTGGTGTCAGCTGACCCATGCCACAAGAGACAAGGTATTACTCAGAAAAAGTGCAGCTCTTTTGAATGAGATCCGTGGGTGGCTCTGAAAAGAGCCGTTTGAGATTTTCAAAGTAGGACGTGCCACTTTTACTTCTTGCGGGGGGCAGCCTTCTTTGCCTTGGTGGCCTTCGGCTTGGCCGCCTTTGGCTTGGTGGCCTTAGACTTGGGGGCTTTGGCTTTGGCTGGGCTCTTGGCTGCCTTCTTGGGCTTAGCTGCCTTCACCTTTTTCGGGCTCTTGGCAACTTTCTTAGCGCCTGCAGCAGCCGCGGGCTTCTTCGCCTTCTTCGGGGTCTTCTTGGCGGCTTTCTTGGGTGTGGCAGCACCGGTCGCCTTCTTGGGCTTCTTGGCTGCACCCGCGGGCTTCTTAGCCTTGGCAGCCCCGGTCTTCTTGGCTTTGGGCTTGGACTCGCCGGAAGCCGCCTTCTTGTTGAGCTTGAAGGAGCCGGAGGCGCCGGTGCCCTTGGTCTGCACCAGGGTGCCCTTGCTCACCAGGCTCTTGAGCCCCAGCTTGATGCGGCTGTTGTTCTTCTCCACATCGTAGCCGGCAGCCGCCAGCGCCTTCTTGAGCGCGGCCAGGGACACGCCGCTGCGCTCCTTGGAGGCGGCCACAGCCTTGGTGATGAGCTCGGACACCGGGGGTCCGGACGCCTTGCGCTTCCCGGCCGCGGCGCCGGTCTTCTTCGCCTTCTTCTTCACAGGTGTCTTCTCCACAGGTGCGGGGGCAGCAGGCGCTGCAGGAGCGGTCTCAGACATGCTTGGTGCCTTTGCTAGAAAAGCCAAAAGTAAGCGCAAACTGTCAGAGAGGGTTGTTCCCACTGCTGAAGGCTCTGGGTTTATATAGAGAGAAGCTGCGTGGTGATTGGTTCCCTGCGCCGTGCGCCGCGCCGCCAGAGAAGGGATCTTCAGCTGTGCCCTGTGACTGTGTTTGTTGCCTCTTAAAAAAGAGTAAAAATATAAGAAATATAAGCACGAAATGATCGGGGACTCGGGGGAAACTTATCCGGGAGCCTGTAGGCTTCATTCTTGCCATAATTTGTACGGCTAAATTCAAAATCGGCAGCCTGAAACATCCCTGATTGCCCCAACTCTCTTTCAAACTTCACGTAAATTGAGACAACTTTAAGGTTTTCCTTAAAAATACTATTACTCTCGCCATCATTCGCAAACTTTTATTTCAGAACATGGTTCTGCACATTCTCATCGTTTCGAAATTATATAGATTAACTTATCTTTACTCAAATATGTGTGGAAATTCGGGTTTTTCGCGGAAGCAACAACACAGACACTCCCGGGGCTGTCTGCACCAAGCTCTAGGAATTGGCACTAGATGGGAAAGTTGTGCGTGCCTGGGGAATAATTATTGTATAAAATATCGGTTGTTTCTTAAGATATTTGACATACCAATGTGTAATTTCGGCTCGGTTTCCATGTTTTACTGATTTAACCATTTTTGGGAGGTGGGATGAGTCTATGCCATTCCTGTTCTTGATCAACAGCTCTAAGCACGTTTCTTCAGACTCAGTGAAGCAGTGAAGAGCAATTCACATTTATGGAAAAAATAAACCTAGCTGAAGAAGGAACATAAGTTTAGCAACTAGAACCTGAGGAACAGTGGGATTTAACCTGACTTGACCACACATTCCTTGTTTAAAATCACATGACTTCAGGACACTTGTAAAGCTTTCCACCCCGCCAAACTTATCACTGCATTTTCTGCATGCTTGCTGTGTTTTAAAATAATTTGAAGTTCAATATTGAAAAATAGACAGATTTTGGAAAAAAAGATATGTTTCTGAAATTTTTTGCTGGTTACTGATCTTATTACATATATAATACAATCTGTAACAAGCAACATTATTAGCTGGTTGTATCTACCTGAGAACGTGAACAAACATTTCAGAGGAAGCATTAATGACTTGAAAACTCTTATTTCTGTTACTTTACAATGAAATGAAGTTGATATAGTTGGGTTCTTATTGGATAACAAAGCAGAAAAGTAATATGCTTCATCAAATACTCATTTCACTGAAGACCCAAGTTTATCAAGCAAATAAAGAAAAGTGTTTTGGTGTTATATTTTAACAATCCTTACATTCACCAAATATCATTATGGTATAAAGTTAATGATTTAAAGATATCCTTAGGTTGTTAACACAAGACAGACTAGTCAGTGCTAAAGATATCTTCTCGTCACACTTACTTACCTAACCACATACAAATAACAGGGCATGATGAAAAACGATCACTTATTCAGCAAAATCAAAAGTAATCAAGTCTCTGGGCTATAAATACATGTGATGATATAAATCATTAAAACATATATGCTACGTACAGAATTGTTCAGCTGATCAGACTGGATCTAAATCAGTCAGTGATTCCCTTGTGTGGTGTTTTTCGAATACACAGAAGGAGCTGTTTGTGTCATCTCCAGAGTCACTGTCCACAGCAGTCATCACAGGGAGCAGAGCAGCCCTTTCCTGTTTTATGTAAACCTTTGCATTGCCTACACCTGAGGACAGGATTAAAGTTCTCATTTGAAATTTTTCATAGCTGCATTCATCTCTGTAAACATCATAACAGTTGCTTACTACTTACTGGACTTGCATACTTGTATTTATTCACTGAGCAGAGGTTACCATTTCATTCTTGCACAACTCTTACTTGGCACCATGAATTTTTAAAATCCCCATACAAGAGAACCACTAAATACTGGTTCCTAATTTTTTGGTAATCTATGATGTTCCTGGATGTAAGACTTGACTTCACCAAGAACATTTCCATGTATTTCCAGAGAGAGGACATACTGCATACAGTTAACTTTCTAACTGCTGTGGCCTGGCTACTTCTCATTACTACAATTAGCAAGAACAAGGTTCTTAAACCCTGAATCAACCGTAGAGACGACAAACTGAAATCCACAAGAACCTTCACTCATTTTTCACTCATTTTTTTTGGAGGGTAACATCAAAAAGATGGTTTTGTTGAATCCAAAATCTACTTACATCCTGAAAGAGCGGGTTATCCACTTTAGTAATCCTTGAACTGTTTTATAGAGATTAAGAAGAGATAATAAAAAATTCCTAAGCTAAATGACAGCCATGAAACATACGACTTCATCTTCTATCGATTTCAAGTTAGACAGACACACAGAAATGTACACCATTTCCATAGAAACAGCTGAGAGATAACAGTTTCATGATTTATCCTGCAGGACATGTTCTTGGGCATCCTAAAATCTAAAGACTTTCAAAAACTGCAGGAAAGGGTGGATGCATAAAATAAGTACCAGCCAGGTGGTGGGGCTCCACTCCTTTAATCCTAACACTCTGGAAGCAGAGGCAGGTGGATCTCTGAATCTGAGACCAGCCTGATCTACAGAGCAAGCTTCATGACAGGACTATGCAGAGAAACCCTGTTTCAGAAAGTAATAATAAGAATAATATCAAGAAGAGAAAAAATAAGGGGAAGAAGACAACATTAGTAGGATCAAGTATGCCCGAAATGTCTATAAAAAAAATAGGGCTATCAGTTTTACATCCCTTTCCATTGACATTACATGAAGATTATAGCAACTTGAAACATATCCAAGTACAACCAGTCTGAATTAATTTTATTTTCTAAAATGGACACTCTTAAATATTTAAATGAAGACTTCCAAATATCCAGTTTCCTTGCCCTCACCACACACTTTCCCCTCATCTGTAATATCTCTTACATTTGGAAGCTGAATAGCTTCTAGTATACTTGAACAGTATTCTGAACCTTCCTTGTCTTTAGAAAGGCCTGCTCTCCTATGGGTGATACATTTCCATCCACAATCTGCATAACTGACACTGTGTGTTTAACAGGTTTCACGACAAGGTCAACAGAGCTGGGCTAGTGCTGCCTCACTGGGAAAGTAGGCAACAGCCGGGGATATGCTGAGCTGATGCCACATCCGACCCCTCACCCGAATTTAGTTTCCCCTTAAGTGGCCTTTGAGTTCCTTAGGTGGGGAAGAGGATGCCACTTTGTTGCTTAACCCTGGTGTTCTCACAGTTTGGGCATTCTGGCATTTACAGTCAATGGTTCATACAACCGGTGCCTTTCTATAAAGGAATGTAAGAGATCTCTGGGGTTAACTGGGATAAGGTAAATTTCAAGTAACTTCTTAGTGCTTGGGATTATGTGTAAATATATATATATCGTGTTTTACATACGTAATTTACATTATATATATAATTTACAATATATGTATAATCTTCCATCATCACAGAAGTTTCTCAGGCAAGCACTAGCTAAAGCACATCTTCCAGATGACCTCTCCAGACAACGTTGAGGCTCATACCAGCACCACAGACTTAAGAAGGAAACTTGGCTCAGGTTTGATTTCATTCTGGACTAGTGTGTATTGCAAGACTCCACTGCCTCAAAAAAAAAAATCAAGAAATTATAATTAATTCTGTAGTGCAAAAAAGACACTGACTCAAATTGTGTGGTGTGAGAAAACAGAAACTCATGTATCAGACATGGCAGGGATGTGTGTGACCGCCTTACTTCAGCCACATATTACTGAAGTGTTAGTTTACAGAATTTCAGTGTTACTTTTGTTTAATTTGCAAGTGTTGTTCACTGTTTCCTTGCCACAGACAAGGCCATGAGATACAGTATCCTCCCCGAGCAGCAAGAGCTTTTATTAAAAGAGGGATAGATCTTCAGCCAGGGCGAGTCTTCATTTTCCCAGTTTAAACAGCATTGTGCGCGCGCGTGTGTGTGTGTGTGTGTGTGTGTGTGTTAAATATATGTATTCTATATGTATATGTACATATAGTATATACCAGCCCCCTTCGTACGGATTTGAAAACGGAACTTGTAGGGGCAGTCAGATTTAATAATACTTGCGAAAACTGAGACTTCGCTTTTTTAAAAATCTTACACTTAAAAGGCAATCTTATAGTATATACTATGCATATACTATGTCTGACTTTGTAGGCAATTGTATGGCCAAAATCTCCTTTTTTTTTTTTTTTTTTTTTTTTTTTTTACAAATGATGAGTGTTTAGCAGAATCCACAAGCACAGCCCTGAAGGAGACACACTAGTGCCTGAGAACTGCAAGACTCCCATGGAAATGGACTCCCATTTCCCCACACACCACAGCGCCTGCGTCTCCCTATGGGCAATAGCAGTCAGTCAGTGAAGGAGAGGGGCGGATACTGAAGCACCTTCCCGCCCGCGCCTTTTCAGTTTCCTAAAAGGTCCGCAGTCCTCGTATATATAGCAGCTGTAGAGGGCGCTTGGGCAGCTTGAGTTTCATTCTCTCAGCTTCACCATAATGTCTGGTCGCGGCAAGGGCGGTAAAGGCCTGGGCAAAGGCGGCGCCAAGCGCCACCGCAAGGTCCTGCGCGACAACATCCAGGGCATCACCAAGCCCGCCATCCGCCGCCTGGCCCGGCGTGGCGGAGTCAAGCGCATCTCCGGCCTCATCTACGAGGAGACCCGCGGGGTGCTGAAGGTGTTCCTGGAGAACGTGATCCGCGACGCGGTCACCTACACGGAGCACGCCAAGCGCAAGACCGTCACCGCCATGGACGTGGTCTACGCGCTCAAGCGCCAGGGCCGCACCCTCTACGGCTTCGGCGGCTAACTGTTACAGGTTCGCTTCCAATAAAGGCCCTTTTCAGGGCCACCCACTTTATCTTGAAAAGGGCTTGATGCGTTTCTCACGAAAAATTCCTGACGGGTTAAAAATGGCGGACCCCAGACATCTTAGAATAAGGTGGAGAGTACTGAGGAAGTACTTAAACTCTGTTCGTTTTACAAACAAGCTGGGTTAGGTCACTCAAACTGCAGGCAGGAATTGTACTTTAATACCAAGGCAATCATAAGGGAACTAAACTTGAAATAGTCAAGAGTATTGCTCTCTGTAATACTGTTAGATTTGTCTCCATACCTAAGGCGCCTGCACATCAGTTCCGCATAAATAACTCCAGTGGAAAAAGGGTCCAAAAGCACAATTCTGACTCCTAATTTAACCAACGTTAAGATTACACACTTAGTGGCACACATCCAGTTTTTCCCGTTTGTATTTGGATTCTGTTTTCTTTGGTTGTCATCTTTCCACAATGATAGGGAAAACATCCAAGCCCCCAAAGAAAATGAGATCAGCTTTTCACCCTTTTAAGTAGTACAGTGTCCAGAGAGGCCTTAAAATTGTTCTATCTAAACTGAACGTTTCTATATTTTTTTTCCCAAATGAAAGTATCATGTACCTTTGTGGTTTTGTCTGCATTTATAAGAACAATAGTGTTTTAGTCTACCCCTTGCTACCTGGACCAAGTAATGCCAGTAAAGAACCTAACACAGTGAGTACTCAGACCCAATAAAATTAAAGGATGTAAAAGCAAAACTGACTACACTCTAGATAGATCTCTTTGGCCTGCAATATGGCAATGCGATTTTTGAGCAAGAATACCCATGTAGAATTAAATTAAGAGCAAAACCTTGACTTAGAAGAAAAATACTTTTTGAATCCTTTTAGCCTGTTGGGATTTAAAAACAATCCAAACAACTTACCACCTAGTCCTTCTTCCTAGAAAGAGCTTTCTCTCAGAAAACCTCAGTTCTAAGTAGCAAGGTGACCCCATACAAAACCACTTGCTTTCTGTCTGTAGCTTTTTGACTTTGAGCCACATTCCAGCCATAACATACAACTTTTTATTTAATATATATTCCTGTTCATAAATCCATGTAGTGTGGTGAAACTCAATCTGTACCCCAGGAGCCAGGACAGTTGTGTAGTAACTGAAGAAGGCCTGAAAGGAATAGGCACAGGTGGTTGACTGTGAGTCTGAGAAGGCAGAAGGGCGGGACCTAGTAAAAAGTGAGCACTGGGCCCTTGTCCTCTGGTCTGGGTGTCAGTGCTTGAAGAGTCTAGCATATCTCTGTGGTAAACTGTAGCTTTGACACTCCTGGGTCATTCCACAGCTCACTCCAGTAGACCGGGAGGCATAAAATTAGCTCTGCATTTCTCAATTTATAAGAAACCTTCCTTGTTCAATACTTAACAGGTCTGTGCTCCCTCCTCACATACCTGTTCTCCACAGCCTCAGTATTAAACTGTTTAGTGTCCCTTGTTTCATCGTAATCTGACATCCCTACTAACTTTTGCCAGTATTGCCTAGAATGCCCCCTTTGTACATCCTCCCATTCCAACTCACTTCAGAATCTAGCCCCAAAACAAGGAAATAATGTTCATGAAACATGAAATAATGTTCATGCCCACAGTTAGCACCTTGGAGCAGTGAACCATGCAGCTTCCAGAGTGTCATCAGAGGTAGGCCTTTTCTACTTAGCTGCTGAGAGGACCTTGTTCTCTTTTATGAAATAGCACTAAAGAGTTTCTAACAAAATTTTATCACCCATTTAATTTCCAAAATTTTTACTAAAAATAATGAATGAAATCAGATACATAATTTTATCTTCTACCACCAGCAACAACTATAGTGTGTGTGTGTGTGTGTGTGTGTGTGTGTGTGTGTGTTTGTGTGTGAGAGAGAGAGAGAGAGAAAGAGAGAGAGAGAGAGAGAGAGAGAGAGAGAGAGACTTACTGGTCTAAAGCATTTGAAAGTAATAGACATGAAATTTTATTCCTGAATATTTCAACATGAAACTTCATAATTGTCATCTAGAATGAAAAACAAAAGTAAAGTTTAAAAAAGAAAAGGCCCCCAAATATACCATCCAATTCCCATCTGTTTTCTCTATTTAAGTGTGACTACTCTTAGGAACCATAAATCAATTAAGTATTTTTTGCCTGGCTACTATATATTGTTCAAGTCTGTTTTAAACTTGAACTATAAATCCCTACCCCAGTTATTTTGTTGTTGTTGTTGTTGTTGTTGTTTTACTTTTAAATCAAGGTCCCGTGAAGCTAGGGCTGTCTGTCCACGAAGTAGCCATTTCCTTGAAGTTCACTTGAACAGCTGGTGTTCTTTCCTCCATCACTCAGATTCTAGAATTATAGACATATAACACCATGACCCCAATATACATGACTTGAGATGTATGTTAGCCTAGAACCTAGACCTTGAGATATATGATCGCCTACAAACATAGCTCCACTTGTCTTAATGACAGGATTATTATTTTTTTTTTTTTAGAAACAAGTGTCCCATAGAACATTCCACATTCTAGTGGATACTGGTGTCTGCTCCACTTAAGATGGGATTTAACAGGCTCACTTACTTACTGGAAACAAGATTGAGAAAGGTGAGGATCTATAATCTGTCTGTCTCTTTCTTTCTTTGTTTTGAGACAGCATTTCTCTGTGGAGCCTTGGCTGTCCTGGAGCTCAATATGTAGAACAGGCCAGCCTCTCTTCCTCTTCTTCCTCTGCCTCCCAAGTGCTTAGTGCGGCTAAATTACATCATATGAACAAACGCAAGGAAAGTTACATTTGATAGACTTGGTAACAAAATGTAGTACTTTCATGTGCGGCATACTGTCCTAATATTTCTTCTAAAACAGCCATCCCAGTGCGTGGGAAAATAAGGAGCATCGCTATAGATTAAAGCAAGGCTGTAGGAGTATGACGCTGTTAACAAAAACAAAACAAAAGACTCCAAATATAGAAAAACCTTAAAAGATTAACCGTTTTTGACTGTGTTGTTTATAAAGGAGATGCAAGTTTGTAACAAGCAGACGGGGGAACAAAGTCTTCATTCCATTAGCGAGTTACCAGCGGAGTGAGGTGTGAGTTCTTAAAAGAGCTTATCCCTGAAAAGAGCCTGTGAAAGAAACTGGGCCCAAGTACCAGCTGTAGCGCATATCCTCAGGGCATGGACCACGTATATGTCTGTGAGTCTTGTGCTTGGTTGGCATCGTCTGCGTAGGTGCACACTCTCCGCGAACACCTTCAGCACCCCTCCTCCTCCTAGATGAGGTTGATCTGCGCGCTTGACAACCCCGGTCGGGCCAGGAGGTGAATGAATGGTCCTCTTAGTGATACAAGAGGGATGTATCACTCTTGGATGGGCTTTGCTGTGGCGCTTGGCGCAGTGCTTGCACAGACTCTTCCCGTGCTAGCCCCGAATGCACACAGAGTACAGGAGGAAAATTCACTATGCTGATACATAGGGTTAAGTCCTCAGTGGAAAACTGTAAGGAAGGGCGGAAACTAGGTTTAGGCACATACACGCAGCTCAAGTGAGAGTAAATTCCTTAGTTATAAACCTGCGTAAAGGATTATTCAGCGCACGTACTCTAGAGATTACTTGCAAAATTCTACATTGCACGGACAAATGAATATGGGACAATTGGATGCAAAAACGTCAAGGGACAAGGGGTAATTGATGACCGTCCTGCTACAGGGATTTAAATACTTGAGCACAACCTGCGGAAAGCCTGCTCTGCTTCCACCTACAAAGTGCTCTACCGGCAATATTCCATTTACAGTGGCCTCGGGTACTTTCTAAGAAGCATAAAAAGGGGGTGTGGGGGGAACATAAGTACAAGACTTGCATTGGAGTACCTCCCACACAAAACAGTACTGCCAATAGCATAACGAATTGGTTAAAACAATCTAGTAGAAAATAAGAATGAAAGATATAGCTATATTCCTTATGGAACCAAAAAATGAAAACACTATGATAGGAAGTTTGTAACTTAAAACAAAGTGTGACAGGTCTCATCATAGACAGGTGAAGGTGGCTCTTAAAAGAGCCTTTGGGTTTTTTGTGTTGGGCAATATTGAATTAGGCCCTCTCTCCACGAATGCGGCGGGCAAGTTGGATGTCCTTGGGCATGATGGTGACTCGTTTGGCGTGAATGGCGCACAGGTTGGTGTCCTCAAACAGACCCACCAAGTAGGCCTCGCTGGCTTCCTGCAGCGCCATGACGGCCGAGCTCTGGAAGCGCAGGTCGGTCTTGAAGTCCTGCGCGATCTCGCGCACCAGCCGCTGGAACGGCAGCTTGCGGATCAGCAGCTCGGTGGACTTCTGGTAGCGCCGGATCTCGCGCAGCGCCACGGTGCCGGGCCGGTAGCGGTGGGGCTTCTTCACGCCGCCGGTGGCCGGGGCGCTCTTGCGAGCGGCCTTGGTGGCCAGCTGCTTGCGCGGGGCCTTGCCGCCGGTGGACTTGCGAGCGGTCTGCTTGGTACGAGCCATTATTGGAGAAGAGAGAAAAATGTAAGTTTGAAATGTGTTGGTTCAAATTTATAAAGGCAAGGTATTCCTGATTGGTTGGAACCGTCAAAGGCCACGCCATGAATGACGATTACGGAAATGCTTGATAATTGGGTAACAGACCTCAATTTTAAAATTTGTAACCAATAGAAATGTTCTACATTATACGGCGATAATTTGTCATATACTACTTCCACATATATATGTATATATGTATATATATCGTAAATACATAACAATATGTATATATATTGTTGCCACTAAGTATCTTAATTGTTAATTTTGCTTACCAACAAATTAGAAAGAGCTACTATTGATATTTTTGGCGACGCCTGAAAAGCTTAAAGGAGTATTCGTAGAACTTGGTTGCTATTGCTTAATTTTGTATTTTTCCTTATATTATAGTTGCGGGAAGGAAAGGGAGCATCTTCCTATCCAGACGGAAATGTGGTGTATCAGACCGGCACAAACACTCTATTTTGTCTACCTTTTAATAAATTCATGACCTTGGTAATTGCCTTATCCCCCGACAAGCGAATTAAGTATGTATATTCAAAGTAAACGCTAGAGTGGTCAACCAAAAACTATGACCGAGGATCATTAAAATTTCACTGCTGTTGCAATTGTGGCACTTCCCTTGGTTTTTGAGAAAGAAAAAAAAAACCTGCCATGTAAACCGGACTGTAGAGTAATTACGACTTTGACTTCTAGAAGCCTTAGATGAATAATTTCTGCTGTGTTCCCTCCGTGTGCTTCACAAACTTTCAAATCATGAAACCAACATTATATGAAGCTAGAATGTATACCTGGCCTATATATCTAGCGTGACACAAATCATGGATACTACTGACAAAATAATTTCTGTTAGTTTATAAAAGTAGAGTACTGTAGCAACGACTCTTAAAAAAAACTGTTTTGTCTCATTTGCGTATACGGAGTCTATTGGCTAATTCCAGCCAATAAGAAACAAGAAAAATCAGACTTCATTTACATAGTCGGCTATCGGCGTTGTACTTCAGTACATGCATTAAGGTAATTGCTGGCCAAAATCCGTTCCTCTGATTGGACAGTAAGTGTATGACGTTTACTTAGTCTCGAGCTTTGATATCCTCAGCTTTGTTTAAATAGCACGGAGGGCAGAGGCCATTTTTCCAAAGCATTGCTTGTGTTTTCAAAACCTACGATTTTCAACATGCCTGAGCCTGCAAAGTCCGCGCCCGCCCCGAAGAAGGGCTCCAAGAAGGCCGTGACCAAGGCGCAGAAGAAGGACGGCAAGAAGCGCAAGCGCAGCCGCAAGGAGAGCTACTCGGTGTACGTGTACAAGGTGCTGAAGCAGGTCCACCCCGACACCGGCATCTCCTCCAAGGCCATGGGCATCATGAACTCGTTCGTCAATGACATCTTCGAGCGCATCGCGGGCGAGGCGTCACGCCTGGCGCACTACAACAAGCGCTCGACCATCACGTCTCGGGAGATCCAGACGGCCGTGCGCCTGCTGCTGCCCGGGGAGCTGGCCAAGCACGCCGTGTCCGAGGGCACCAAGGCCGTCACCAAGTACACCAGCTCCAAGTGAGCGCTCCCGTCTCGCTCTTAAACCAAAGGCTCTTTTCAGAGCCACCCACAAGTCTTATGAAATAGCTGTTACATGCATAAATCTTTCTGTCGAATATGCTGATGTAGCAGCATAAGTATCGAGATGCTGTGTGAACTGTTTGGAAGGTCAGTCCTATTTGGCCTAACATCTGCAATGGTAGTCTGTAAAAATGCTCTTGAAATTATGTTAATGTTACATTGTGTAGGTGCCTAGTCAGTCCCCATACCTCTTTGTATGGGTCCCGTTAGTGGGTGTTTTGAGGTTTCAAAAAGTTCTTTTTTGAAAACATCACATACACAAGATGTTCATGATCAACCACTAACCTTTATTTCTGAACGTCATACTTACAGCCTTCTTTGTGTAAGTTATTTTGGCTATTAAGGAAATTCAAATTACCTTAGTATACTGTAATGTAACATTTTGGGAGTTGGTAAAATCCAATCATAAGTACAGTGGCTTATTGGATCAGTTTTTTAGAATTACCTTTTAAAAGCTGTATTGTCGATGTCTTTACAGGCCGAAATTAAAAACATTAGGGCAAGCCACCTGTAGTTTCACCAGAACGTTTAAATGCACACCCATTGGCATCTGCATCATCTAGGACACTCATGACTTGATGAGGGGAGGTCAGGAAAGATTGCCAAAACCCTGGATCTGCAGCTTGTGTTACTCACCTTTAATCCCATCATTTGGGAGCAGGACCAGGTACTCTTGAGTTTCAGGCCAGCCGGGTCACACAATCTCATGATTATGTGTTACACATTGAGGTACGCGATAGATAGATAGATAGATAGATAGATAGATAGATAGATAGATAGATAGATAGATGATAGATAGATAGATAGATAGATAGATACTCGATCCTGAAGCTGTATTGCACCAAATTTTCTAAGTAATTGAATGCAACTGGAGGCAAAGTATTCATTTACAAAGTCTGCAGAATTTTTAAAAACTGCTTATTGGGGAAAAACTGATTTTTAAAAAAGGGAAACAAATATTTTGTCTTTGGGGATAGTCAATCATTGGCTTTTTACAAAGAAAAAGTATGCAGAAGGCACAGAAGCCTTGAAGTGAAAGGCTCCTGTAAGGCATAAGGCTGCACAAAGGGGATTTACGGGATAAAATCAGAGTTCTCTCTGGAGTGGAGAAAGTTGATTACAAACAAAAGTTACCACCTTAATCAGTCCTCATGGCTCTTCATAGAATAGTGTTCAGAAAGTGTTTTGAGCATCATCTAGGTGGAGTTAGTAGCTTCCAAATGTCAAGGTGTCTTCTTCCATCAGTCACTGGCAGTTTCTTAAAAGTCAGCCTTGAGGTCCTACAACAAAAACCGTTATCACAACCTGTAGGATAAAACAAGTGACCAGGTGAATAGCTTCCTAAATAAGATAACTGAACACAAGTAACTAAAGAAAAACGTGAAGTATCAGAATCTCAAAAATAAAAAGCGCAAAAGGTCTGGCACAATGCTGAGCATCTTTAATTTCATCGCAGCATTTGGAGGGGCAGAAATCTCCCAAGTCCAGACCATTCTGGGATACAAAGTTACCTGCACTGAGGACAGGCTATATATAATGAAACTCCATTTTTAAAAGAGGGGGGAGTCCAAAGGGTTTGCTAAGGAATTTACTGGTGGGTAGGAGACGAAATGACTGCTAAATACCAGTTACCACTTGAAATCTGGGTGAACAGATTCGCAGTTACAATTTTATTGGTTTTGGCAACGAACCTGACAAAATAGAAATGGACATTACAGATCTTTTTTGTATGGTGGGTGGCTCTAAGAAGAGCCTTTAAAAGTAGTTATAGAAGAAAAGGATTTATGCCCTCTCCCCGCGGATGCGGCGGGCCAGCTGGATGTCCTTGGGCATGATGGTGACTCGTTTGGCGTGAATGGCGCACAGGTTGGTGTCCTCGAACAGACCCACCAGGTAGGCCTCGCAGGCCTCCTGCAGCGCCATGACGGCCGAGCTCTGGAAGCGCAGGTCGGTCTTGAAGTCCTGCGCGATCTCGCGCACCAGCCGCTGGAACGGCAGCTTGCGGATCAGCAGCTCGGTGGACTTCTGGTAGCGCCGGATCTCGCGCAGCGCCACGGTGCCGGGCCGGTAGCGGTGGGGCTTCTTCACGCCGCCGGTGGCCGGGGCGCTCTTGCGAGCGGCCTTGGTGGCCAGCTGCTTGCGCGGGGCCTTGCCGCCGGTGGACTTGCGAGCGGTCTGCTTGGTACGAGCCATAGCACAAAAGAGTAGAAGAAATGAGGTAACAAAACTGCAGAAGGGTTGCCTTTATATAGGGTTACGTTCGCACAGGCGCAAACGCATGCAAGCGCTTGTGTTTCCCTCCTCCCCACAGAGAAACAATCTGATAGGATTGCATACTTTTCAAAAGTCCCGCGCCATATTACTATTGGCGGAGGACGTCGGACTGTGATTGGCTATCTCTTGCACACTTATTAGAATGCTAAGAAATGTTTTAGCAGCTTACAGCCATTTAATACGCCCGATCATTCTTAAATTTTATTCCACGCTTGTCTTGTATTTAACCGCTTGTAGAATTTGAGGACAAGAAATCCCAACTTTAAAACAGGACGCTCTAGATGCCAAAAACATTCCGGAAAAACATGTTCGCCACCCTCTCTAGGCATTCACTCACTTTTCCATTCTAGTGGCTGGATTTCAATGTTGTAGCCACAGAGTCCTAGAGTATTTGGAATGAGACCAGTAAACAGACCTGCGTGAAAATAAGGGTAAGACATGTGAGCTGGCCTCTGAATGTTGCCTTGTCACTTTAAATACAGCCTTATCCTAACGATTTTCATAAAAATCCTTTTGGTTCACAGTAACTTCTCCAATACTTTCGGCCTCCTAACCTCAAAATTATTTTGCAAGACACTACTGCGCTGAATAAGGTAAATTGTGTACAAAGTATACCAGCATGTTCATGCGATATTCGGAATTTCTCTGCCTTACTCAAGTCAATGCAACTATCTACCTTGATATTTGGTTTTATTAATCGCGATATGGTTCGATACTTTACAATAACATAAAGGGCTTAGCATGTTAAGTAGAAAATGGTTCTGGTTACCATACTCTCTATATGAAAAGGTGGTGGCTCTGAAAAGAGCCTTTGGTTTAAAGAAAAAAAAGCCACGCTCAATCGTCTTATTTTCCCTTGGCCTTGTGGCTGCTCTCGGTCTTCTTGGGCAGCAGCACCGCCTGGATGTTGGGCAGGACGCCGCCCTGCGCGATCGTCACGCGGCCCAGCAGCTTGTTGAGCTCCTCGTCGTTGCGGATGGCCAGCTGCAGGTGGCGCGGGATGATGCGCGTCTTCTTGTTGTCGCGGGCCGCGTTGCCAGCCAGCTCCAGGATCTCGGCCGTCAGGTACTCCAGCACGGCCGCCAGGTACACCGGGGCGCCAGCGCCCACCCGCTCAGAGTAGTTGCCCTTGCGGAGGAGGCGGTGCACGCGGCCCACGGGGAACTGCAGGCCGGCCCGGGAGGAGCGGGTTTTGGCCTTGGCGCGGGCCTTGCCACCCTGCTTGCCGCGTCCAGACATGATAATGATTTGCTGTCAAAATCAGCTAAGGGTAAAACAGCGACAACAGAGAACTTATAGGGATCCTCTGGAGCGAAAATTGGGTGATTTCATTGGCTATACAGTCCGTTTCACCCAAACCAATGGTTCCGTGGTTTTGAAGTCTGCTAGCTCTTATTGGACAGTTAGTGTATGACGTTTGCACATTCGCTAACAAGAATAGCCACAGCTTTGTTTAAATAGCACGGAGGGCAGAGGACATCCTTCAATTTTTCTTTTTGTGTTTCTACACAAGTTTTATCTTTTAATCATGCCTGAACCTGCGAAGTCGGCTCCCGCTCCGAAGAAGGGCTCCAAGAAGGCCGTGACCAAGGCGCAGAAGAAGGACGGCAAGAAGCGCAAGCGCAGCCGCAAGGAGAGCTACTCGGTGTACGTGTACAAGGTGCTGAAGCAGGTCCACCCCGACACCGGCATCTCCTCCAAGGCCATGGGCATCATGAACTCCTTCGTCAACGACATCTTCGAGCGCATCGCGGGCGAGGCGTCGCGCCTGGCGCACTACAACAAGCGCTCGACCATCACGTCCCGGGAGATCCAGACGGCCGTGCGCCTGCTGCTGCCCGGGGAGCTGGCCAAGCACGCCGTGTCCGAGGGCACCAAGGCCGTCACCAAGTACACCAGCTCCAAGTGAGGGAGCCCATCTCGCTCTTGAACCAAAGGCTCTTTTCAGAGCCACTCACTTTCTCTTAAATGAGACCTGTAATTCTATCTGGAACATGTTTACTTAGTAGTGTGTGTGAACCAAAAGTGTTTAGCAATGCAGGGTTGGGGGTGGGTAACTATTCTTTCTGAACAGCTCACTTTTTAATATGTCTATATTGAGCTTCCTAGAGTGACAAAGACAATTTTTTCATATGAAGTAAATCCAACCACAAGGTCTTACATCTGTGTTTCGCTAGTTCTAAGGTTAGAACTGTGCCAAATTGCCTGTCCCTTTTTCTTTGATTTCTGAGAGGATTTCACCATCTAGTTCTGACCCGAAATTCACTAAATCAGACTGACCTACAGCTCAGAGTTCTTCCTAGTCTTCCCAGTTGTTGGGATGGATCTTTGCCACCACACAACTTTCCTGTAAGTGTTATAGGTGAATCTGGTAGTCCATCTGAAGTCAGTAACTTATTGCCTTTGTCATTTATCTGCAAGTGTCCACTAAACCAATATGGACGTTAAGTGACCCAATAACAGAGACTTGTAAGCTTTTCAAGCATTTAGGCATAAATTTTTCAATATACTGTTTGATAACTTTAAGCATCTCTTTAAACAATTTACTCAGATATTCAAACCCGGTTTACTACATCCACCAGATAAAAGTGAGTTTTAAATACATAGAATTATGGATGGAGGCAATTAATTGGAGCATTTACTAATGCTAAATCGCGGGTACTTAGGAACGACTGTGTGACATTCTGGAGATTAGTAACAGCAATTGTGGCGGGACAGTGTCTGCACCAAGGGAATTGCCTGCTGTGCTCGAGCCTTGGACCTCACAAAGGAAGCCTTTACCCTGTGGCTGTAAGGGAGCTGAGCTCTAGCAGTTCCGCTAGTCCTCTGTGTCAGAGTTCTTCAGCTGGTCCTGTACTTTGCTGATCTAACAGTACAACTCTCTCTAGTATGATTGGGACATCCAAGATCTAAATATTGTCACGCCTCAACCTCCATCTCAAGCAATGTAAGGCCTTCACGTGACTCTCCACAAACTCACTAGAGCTAACAAAACATAGTTAGGAAAAGGACAGATAAAAAGAGAAATTTGCTAGATATGCTGTCTCACCCCTGTCTAGCCCCTGGGTAGGCTGAAAAAGATGCTAAACAATATACAGAGCGCTCACTGTTGGCGTTAGCTTCAATGCTTTTTCCTGGAGAGTTAATTTATTTTTAACTGTATGTATGTCTCTGGACGTAAGGAACTCCCCCTGGAACTGGAGTTACATGTGATTGCTGTGACACAACCAACATCGATGATGGGCACTGAACTCTGACTCATCTCTAGCCCCAACCTTCAATATTTTTAATATTGTCAGCATTTCCATTTTTGCTGAAAATAAAAGCTAGAAATATAAATGTTTAAGGGTAGGCTTTTAACCTGCAAAACCATACACAGATTCTAAGCACTTTTCATAGCCTAGGCCACTGATCCAAACCAACATCCTCCAAGAACTAAATTGTTGTTGCAGCCTCCTTACAAGTTTCCTTACCAGTACTTTTGAATCAAGCTTGAAAATATAAATCAGACCTTGCCTGTTCCCAGCTAAAACTCCTGCAATGGTTCCCACATCGCCCACCTCAATGAGAGCAAAACCCAGAGTAGTTCCAAAAGCCCACAAAAGGACACAAAAGCCACTCCGTTCCATTTGGGTTTCAACCTGTCTCTTCTCACCAGACTTTTTTGATCTAGCAGGAACCCCCTTCACTTTCACAGTCATTTTTCCCCCTGGTCCTGACTTCATTACTAAAGCTTTACTATCACCCCATCATCTAAATAGTACCTCCTCCCAGCACACATTATGCCTTTTCTGCTTCAGTGATCAACAACACTTAGCATTCTCTGCATTCCCACACGCAATCAACACCAAATCCTGGAAGATTGAAAATGTTTTGTCCTGGACTAGAGAGACTACACCAGCACTGAATGCTCTTGCTAAAAACCAAGAATTGAATCCCAGCACCCACAAGGTGGTTCACCACTGTTTTGAACCCCGGTTCCAGGGGATCTGAAACCCTCTTCTGGCCTCCTTGAGCACATGGCACACTAACACCCATGCGTACACATTTAGATTATTTATACCTATAATCCACATAGCACAGAACCGCTCCTGACACTTGGTGTGTTCCGATCATTTTTTTAAGCCTCAGATACTTTTTTCTTCCTCAAACATGTTCTTAACCTCTAATAGTGTCTGATTCCCTGCCCCACCACCACCACCCACAGAAACCCTTATCTTTAAAAATAAATATGAGTGCTGGGCAGTGGTGACACAGGCCTTTAATCCCAGCACTCGGGATTTGCAGCAGAAGCAAGCTGATCTGTGAATTCAAAGCCAGCCTAGTCTACAGTGAGTTCCAGGACAATCGGGGCTACACAAAGAACCCATCTCGAAAAAGAAAAACCAAAAATATAATAATTAATAAAAAAATAAAGAAGAAGGGAGACAGCCAAAAAGGCTCAGCAAGTAAAAGTGATTGCTGCAAAACCTGTTAAACTGAGTTGGAACCTTACGTGGAAGACCCAAATCCCACAGAACTGCCCTGATTTTTTTACAGAGTAAATAAAGTCAAATGACAACCACATTAACTACATTAGTTTCTTTGATTTCAGAGGATAACCACACAAGCTACTTGCTGGTCACGAAGAGCACCTTTTCTGTTGTTTTTAAACAAGGCATCAGGACATTTAAACTCAGTGTTCGCTGTACAGTACTGACACAATCTTAGCACTTCTAGCTGAAATCAGATTCTGAAGGTACAAACTTAGAACACATCGAAAATATCAGAAATGTGCTTATATTCTTAGGTTGTTTATTCACACAAATCAACAAAGTTCGGAGGTGTGCACAAAAGGCCGTACAGCAAAACTACCCAGTTTTACATTGTATATGAAAATTGTAATGTCCAATTGTGATCATCCTTCCCTTCAAGTCCTACCACAGGTGTGCCAGGAGAAACGCTGCCTAAACGTGTGGGTCTCTAGTACACCTCAGGCAGCTTTTTCAAGCCTGGTTTTAGAACTCAGCAGAGGTCGAAGCACAGAACCGACCAACCACAGTCCTGGCTGTGCTCAGCCACCGCCCGGCGTCTTTGTCCCTGCCTACGCCAAGCTCACGCTCTTTGTCCCTGGATCTCGCGCCATCTAAATAGAGGAAGGATATCAAATGACAAGCTTCATCGTGTGCCTGATGAATTGACGCTTTCATAATTTTCAAGAGTAGCCAACGTAGCAACGACAGAAACGGAAGCCTAGGTTAGCTACATTAAAAGCAAGCTTATTTCCCGCGTTAACAACGGCAACCCAACAATAGTCAATAAGACATAAATGCTAGCCCTTTTACAGAGAAGGTGGGCGGCCCTGAAAAGGGCCTTTGGTTTTCTGGGGAAATTAGCCGCCAAGAGTAGCTCAGCCGCCGAAGCCGTAGAGGGTGCGGCCCTGGCGCTTGAGCGCGTAGACCACGTCCATGGCGGTGACGGTCTTGCGCTTGGCGTGCTCCGTGTAGGTGACCGCGTCGCGGATCACGTTCTCCAGGAACACCTTCAGCACCCCGCGGGTCTCCTCGTAGATGAGGCCGGAGATGCGCTTGACTCCGCCACGCCGGGCCAGGCGGCGGATGGCGGGCTTGGTGATGCCCTGGATGTTGTCGCGCAGGACTTTGCGGTGGCGCTTGGCGCCGCCTTTGCCCAGGCCTTTCCCGCCTTTGCCGCGACCAGACATGGTTAGACTGCTGACGACCAGACCAAAGTGCCCGGAGAAGCGCAGGCACTTCCCTTATATGCAAGGGTTTCGGACCTAATTGAAGACTGAAATCTCGAGCGCGTTCACTCCGCCCCTGATATGGCAATGGCTGGTGACGTCACCAACGCTCGCGGTTCCCGCTCCCTGTGCTGGGTCCTTTGTCTCAAAACAGGACTTCCCGGCCATTTTAACTAGTTCAGACTAGAATGTCTTTAACGATGCACATTTGCCATTTGCCACTTGGTATGTATTAGGGCGACAGCAGAGCCTTGGTCAGTCAAACGATCAGAAATGCAGATGCGGGCTGTGTGTGAGTCAGTTTTATCCCCTCTTCTACAAAACCAAACACCGGAGAGAACACAGCACCATTTCCTCCACGATCTCGACCACAGAACAAATCTGACCCCAAAGTCTTGCTTCCCGCAGGTAAATGCGTGATTGTTTACTAAGACTGTTACCAACTGCCGTGCTGAGGACAGTATATTGTCTAGTTTTCTCCACTGGCGAAAATTCGTGATTCTCGTTTGGCTTTATCATACACATCGAGTCACTTATTAGTATGCTAATGTTTGCTACTCTTGTCAGATTTTGCTTTGTCTTTGATTCGGTAGCGACATTAGCACCTTTAAGACAAACTTAAAAGGTGACTTCCAGCAGGTCTTTGTTTAAAGTAGTACGACACCAGCTGCAAACAAAGGTAAGAATGTTATTAGGAGGTAGCTGCTGTGCAGCAGAGTGGCGCAGCGGAAGCGTGCTGGGCCCATAACCCAGAGGTCGATGGATCGAAACCATCCTCTGCTAGCCAGAACTGGAAACTTTTTCGTGGGTGCTTAAATGACAACTAATGGGTTCTCTTTCTAGTAAACCATATATATTCTGGTTATTTTGCCATTTAACCTCTAAAATCGCTAAACAAAGGCGAACACAAGGGTAAGATCGAAAGACTTGTTCAGTTTCTTTCATTGCATAATATATAAGGCCTTATTTGCCAAGTCTGACTGAGAAAACCACTTCTGCTGCCAACACTGGTCCTGTGTCTTTAATTGCCACATTCCTGATAAGTCTTTTGGGAAGACTTATTCTCTACGCTTATTTTTTAAGCTGTGGATTCACTGACTTATATTTCTCTCCCAGGAAGGATTCCTGTCTAAATGTTATGTGTCAAATGCCGTCATAGAAATTAGTAAGAAAAAAATACATTAAGTAGCCTATAATCTAGGTAAGTATTTTGTTTTGATTGACCTTGAACTTCTCCTTTAGCCTCTACCAACAGGGTTTACCATGCCTTTTAAAAATAATTCTTTACTGGATTAGAAAACAGAAGTTTAAAGACCTCTCTCCCGTTAGGCCGTGGGGGACCCCCACTGGGTCTTATTTCTTCTCAGTGGGGATTTAAAGATCAAAATCAGCCCTTGAGAATAATTGACAAAACCACGAAGCACCTGGTAGCCTTGTTTCCTTGCCTCAGACATTAAAATAAATAAATAATTACTTTTTTTTAAAAAAAAAAAAGGGGGGGGAGGACTACTTGGGAGGTGGTGGCATACGTCTTTAATCCCAACACTCAGGAAGCAGAGGCAAGTGAATCTCTGAGTTTCCAGGTCAGACTCCCAGGTCTGAGTTCCAGAACAGTCAGGGCCACACAGAGAAACACTGTCTCAAAAAAATATTAGTAGTAGTATTATTGCCATCATCATCACCACCACCATCATCATCATTATTATTACTACTATTATTATTAATTATTATATTATTATGAGACTACTTTTCAAGCCGTGAGAACAAAACCAATTGTTGATCGCAACCCCTAACCACCCACTAGTTCAGTGACTTGGGGGAAGTCCTCACCTAACGCAGCGTGTAGTTTAAAGATTACAGCGAAGATTACAATACAGGAAAAGACAAAGACAAAAAGACAAAGAGGCTTTCTTGTCCTCTGTTTCTTGGTGACAGACACTCTTCTCTCCAGCTGAGGTAGGGTTCTAAAAAGAATCAGCAAAAGAGCCAGAAGAAGGTGGAAAAGTAGCTTTGTCACCGGAGGGTCACACCCACGCACACAGAACTGAGTCTGTAAATGATCAGTGCCGGGGAGCATGAACGGGGAAGCAGGGTCTGAGTACACGCAAATGACTTTTCTCTCTGTGAACCAGCCATGTTCTGTATTAATACCCAAGTAATTTGGTCTCAAATTTTCCTAAATCCGATCCTGTGGTCCCAAATAAAATCCGCGGCGTGGTCCTAATTGCTTTTTATGCTGTACCTATCGCAAGAGAGCTGCCGGAAGTTCCTTTTACTTCCTAAATCTTAGAGACAGTACTCAGGACAGTGACCACGTGGCCTAATGGATAAGGCGTCTGACTTCGGATCAGAAGATTGAGGGTTCGAATCCCTTCGTGGTTATTTGGTTTTTCCTCCTTTTCCAGAGTCCTACAAATTGTAACATCTGGTCAAAATAGTAATAATAATAATAATACCAATTGCGACCCCGCCACCCACATTTTCTGGGTTTTTCCAAACTTTATACCTCCTGTCAAAGGGAAAAGAAAGAACTTGTGTTAGGCCTTAAAGCAGTGGTTCTCAACCTTCCTAATGCTGTGACCCTTTAATACAATTCCTCATGCTGTACTGACGACCCTTGTGAAAGCGTTGTTCGACCATCCAAAGGGCTCGTGACCCACAGGTTGAGAATGGCTTCAACGAATTAGGCGCTGAAAGAACGAGAATGGAAACCAAAATGAGGCCTTCAGGTATCTTGGGCTGTCAGATTCTCCCAGGCTTAGACTGTGGGCCTCTGGGCCTCAATTTTGCTGGGTTAAATTACCCCAAATAATCCCTTTGCCTGCTTTTTTGTTGTCTCAAATACAGGGTTTCAAGTAACACAGCCTGGTCGTCTATCTCTACCATTCTGCCGCATCATGCCTGGCAGAAATGGGAATTCTGATCCAAGACTATAAAAACGTGCCTGAACCAAAGTAGTCCCCATTTCCTTTCCTTTTCAACGCATGGACAGCAAAGGATACAGAAGGGAAAAGCCTGTCCCCGCCAGGAAGGATGACAGAGTAAAGCAATCTTGGACACCCTACATCTTCAGTGGTCACTGGACGCTGAAAAATGTGTCACAAATTCAGAAAATAGAATATTTACAGCCTTTGAGACATGCTGCTTTAAAGTGGGGGGGGGATCAAAAAATATGCCCTGAAACTTTAGAGATGAATGGAGATAAATGGAAACGGATGGGAAGGGAAAAACAGAAAGAAAGGGTTTCCCTTTTGCTGTCTTTCGAAGGGAAGGCAGCAAAATCAAAGGAGAGAGGTGAGGAAAACGGGGAGGGAGAATGTAATGGTATTTCACTTGTATTTTAATAAATAAAGCTTCCCTGGTGAATCACAAAAGTAAAACAGCCACAGTGGTCAACCTTACAGACCAGCTAGCAATGAATGACACAGACCTTTAATCCCAGTAGCCGCACTAGTTGCCATAGAAACCTGGCGGTGCTTTAATGACTTTAATCCCAGCGGTACATGCCTTTAATCCCAGAACTAGACAAGATTATAAAATGGAAGGAAGCAGCTCTCAGACACAGTCTCATTCTGAGATTCCTGGAGGTAGGAACGCCATTTCGGGCTGAGGTCAAGGTAAAAGCCAGTGGCTGGCTGCTTTGCTTTTCAGGTCTTCACGTTGAATCTCAATTTCTCTCTGAGTTTTTATTACTCATGCTTCAGGGGAGAGAGGTAAGGGGAAGGGAGGGATTAGGATGGCAGGTATGCCATTATTAACTGATAGTACTAACCTAAATAGGAACACGAATAGCTAAAAGTCCTGAACACAGACAGCCCATCCCATTCCTCCCAAGCCTCCTCTGTATGGTCACCACTTCTTTCCCACCAATAGCTACAATCCCACTTTATCGTTTTATTTAGATAAAAATGATAGGCTATCCAAGAATAGTTACTAAGTCTATTTAGTCAACATGACATTTTGCCTTTTTTATTGTAATAAGCCAATAAATTCCAATTTGCCTGAGGGTATGTTTCTGTTGGTCTTTGGGCATAGACAACCAACAGTTTCATTATTATATATTGAATATATATTATATTGAATATATTATATATATTGAATGTGATGAATATATTATATATTGAATATATATTTTAAGTATATTATATATTTAATACATATATATATGAGGAAAATAATTAGATTAAGTCTAATGTTCACAAATGTTCAGTAAAAGGTCAGAGAATGAGTAACTCAGTGGCCTAACACCTGCTTAGGAAAGACAGGCCATGGGTTCTGTCTGAAGCTCCACAGGATCCTCCAACCACATGTCTTGCAAGAGAGTTGGAAACCGCTGCTCACAGGAACTTGCATGTGAATATCTATGAAGTTCATCCATAACTTCCAAAATGTGAATCAGCTGTCAGGCATTTGAGGGCCCCAGGCTTCGGTCCACAGCCAACCAATACTTCAGCGCGGTCACCAGAGGGCGCTAGAGAGCCACCAAATCCTTATTCACAGCCAACATTTTTTTAACTCTTCCTGGCCCGCTCTGCCTTGCACACGCGAAGCGAGCGCTCTTGAATGTTGGAAGTAAAGAAGACTCGGTAGGCAGCCTTCCACCTAGCGCTCTGATCCACTACTACACCAGACCAACAACAGGTGGGCTAAACTGATCACACAAGACTCAGCTGGAATATTTTTTCCAATTTACCATCTTTTAATATTGCTGTATTTTTATTTATTTGGGGGACATTCTGAACTAAAGAACAATGTTCAATGTTCTTTAAAGATAAACGGGAAAATATAAAATATTTACTGACTAGCTTTATCAGCCTTCTCTTTGCAGTTTTTCTATACAGTTTGTATACTGTTATACAACACACATTTTGTACATTTTTATACAATAAATTTTCCCCACACACACAAGAAATGAGAGGTTGTGGATTCACTCTTTTTTTATTTCTTTTTTTTTTTTTTGATATTTATTGAGCTCTACATTTTT